CTCCGAAATGGGGCTTGGTCACAGGAAGAGCGTGAATGACCGTGACTAGAAAGTGAGTGTGAATAGAATACGGTTTTCCAAAGATGAGGACAGTCCTTGTGTTTATGGTCGCTAGACGGGCAGACGTTGCTTCCCCGTTTGAACATCCCACCCCTTAACTGGGTCTTGGCCAAGGGTGAAGGGAACGACAGGATCCCACCTTCCTGGCCATACTGGAAACCACTGATACGTCCCAGTTCAGTGATGACAGACGTTGGCTTCTTTCGGAAGCACAAACATTTCAAAGACTATCAGATACTTAAGGAAGAAAAGACCTTCAGATGACCTCTGCCTGACACAAGTTAAACCACGCACTACTCACAAGGAAAGCCATTCATTCAGTCAAGTGCATGGTTTAAGTGGTTATATTCTCACTGAAATTTGCCTTTTAACTTTATTCCTTGTTCCCAACCCTCCCCTCTAAAGCCACATTGCATGAGTCTCTTAACTCTTCCAACATGGTACTTTCAAACACATCCGCACATCCTAAATCTTTTCCACGCCAAACTCCCAGAGATTCCTCATTCTTTTATTTTGACACACCACTCACCATTCTGATCACTCTCTTCCAGACACCTACCTGCTTCTTCATGTCCCTCATAAAATATGAAATGCAGAATTATAGACAATCCTTGACATGTACCTAAAACACTGCCATGTACATGAGGGACTAATAAATTCTTGTTACCTGGATGTTATTTTTTCCCCATTATTTATGCCTATTAAGTTTAATTTCTTTTTCTGTAAAACTAATTCAGTTTATCCTCTGAATGTATCTCTCTGCTTCAGGAGAGTAATGACTATTTTCTCCTCTAATAATGATGGTGATAATACCAACTCCAATGGGCTCCCTTTACTGAGAGCCTACTCATGCCTGGTACCTCCCCTCTGCCAGTTCACTAATCCATTCAAAACCCCTGAGGGTGGTATTATCATCTCCATATAAAATGAGGATACAGGCTCAGAGAAGGTGAGTCACTGGCACTCGGTCACACAGCTGCATGGGGTTCAAGTCTAGCCTGATTCCATGCACATGGTCTTTCTACTATCCTCACTCCCTTACATTGTTTTATCCAGAAAGGGAAAGGCTAACTATGTCATGGGAGTAGCCACGAGCAAAACATGGGTCAGCATTGTCCCCACTCTGTGCACTGAACAGAAAGGTGCCTCTTTGCCCACTCCGAATGAAATGCCTCTCACCATGTGACATGACACAGCCATCAGCTGTGTGAAAGCCATCAGAGTGCCACAATCACATGATTGGCATCAAAGCCAGGATGGAAAGGAATCAACAGAGGCCATTCCTGTGATCTTCAACCAGAGTTTTCTTCTATTGTTGTGGTGGACACTGTCAATGCTCTGCCCAGATACCCCTACTGTGTGTGCACAGGCGGAGGGATGGCCCCCTAAAGGTGTCCACCTCTTAATCCCCGGAACCAAAGAACATGTTATGTTACAAAGCAAGGGGAAATTGAGGTTGCAGAAGGGAGTAAGGTTGCTAATCAGGTGGCCTTGAGATGGAAAGATTATCCAGATGGGTGCAAGAAGCAGAGTCAGGACCAGGGAGAGGGCGGTGTGAGAAAGATGCAACCTGCCATTATAACTTTGAACACAGAAGGGGCCACAAGCCAAGGTGGGGGCCATCTGTAGAAGCTGGAGAAGGCAAGAACATATATTCTCCCTTAGAGCCTCCAGGAAGGAATGGAGCTCCTGATGCCCTGATTTTAGCCCAGTGAGACCCACTGTGGACTTTCAATGTCCAGAACTATAAGATAATGAATCTGCGTTGTTTTAACCCACTAAGTTTGTGATACTCATTTATAGTAGCAAAAAGCCACTAATACACCGGAGGTGTGTGTACTGGCTGCTAATGACTCACAGCTACCCCTTTCTCCAGAAAATTGCCTTCAACAGAACATGAGCCACTTGGCCCGGGGGGTTCTGAAAGGGCCTCCGTCGTGGGAGGAGGAGGGAGGCCCACAGAGAGTAGGCTACGAAAGGCTGGCCTCAAGGAAGGACCAGCTGTGCGACCCATGTGCCAGTGCTCCTCCAGAGCTCGCTGAAGCGAGACTCCCACTGAGACCACCTTCGTATTCAGCAACTTCCCTGCCCCAATCCGCTTCCTCCCTCTCCCTTCTCCTGAGAGCGCCCCCTCAACCTATCACGTGTACCCAACTCCCTGCTCAGGCTCTGCTTCTAGGGAATCTGGCCTGAGACAACAGTCAGCCTCAGAAGAGATGCCAGGCTATAGGAAGCTGGTCCTGGAGGGGAAATGGTGGGGCTGGATGGTGTGTGTCAGGTATGTGTCAGGGTAGAGGAGCTGGAAGATGAGACTAGAGGGCATACTGGCTTTTCCCCGGGGCCTTGCTGGGCCCTGGGCCTGGCTTGATCTTAAAAGTGCCCTTCCCTGAAGCATTCATGCCAAACCAGACGCTGTGGCATCTGGGCTGTAAGCGGGAGCCACAAGGTGGGGAAGGTCTCAGGGTGCTTCCAGGTGCTCCAGGAATTCGATGGGCCACACTTCTGGAGGGTCAGCGCCATCTCGGGAATACAGTCCACATCTGGATCTGGATCAGCCCTGCATTTTTCATTTTTCAACCTCATTTCCAGTCGTGATACCCTTTAACTTCTCCTAACTGTGGGGGGGGGGGTTTACATCCTCACGCCCTCTGAGAGCAAACACAGCCCTGTGTTTTGTGGCCACTGGTCAATTACCAGGATTTACTGCTGCTCTTGAAACAACTGGTTTAAACTCACTCTGAATAGAACATGTTATGTTACAAAGCAAGGGGAAATTGAGGTTGCAGAAGGGAGTAAGGTTGCTAATCAGGTGGCCTTGAGATGGAAAGATTATCCAGATGGGTGCAAGAAGCAGAGTCAGGACCAGGGAGAGGGCGGTGTGAGAAAGATGCAACCTGCCATTATAACTTTGAACACAGAAGGGGCCACAAGCCAAGGTGGGGGCCATCTGTAGAAGCTGGAGAAGGCAAGAACATATATTCTCCCTTAGAGCCTCCAGGAAGGAATGGAGCTCCTGATGCCCTGATTTTAGCCCAGTGAGACCCACTGTGGACTTTCAATGTCCAGAACTATAAGATAATGAATCTGCGTTGTTTTAACCCACTAAGTTTGTGATACTCATTTATAGTAGCAAAAAGCCACTAATACACCGGAGGTGTGTGTACTGGCTGCTAATGACTCACAGCTACCCCTTTCTCCAGAAAATTGCCTTCAACAGAACATGAGCCACTTGGCCCGGGGGGTTCTGAAAGGGCCTCCGTCGTGGGAGGAGGAGGGAGGCCCACAGAGAGTAGGCTACGAAAGGCTGGCCTCAAGGAAGGACCAGCTGTGCGACCCATGTGCCAGTGCTCCTCCAGAGCTCGCTGAAGCGAGACTCCCACTGAGACCACCTTCGTATTCAGCAACTTCCCTGCCCCAATCCGCTTCCTCCCTCTCCCTTCTCCTGAGAGCGCCCCCTCAACCTATCACGTGTACCCAACTCCCTGCTCAGGCTCTGCTTCTAGGGAATCTGGCCTGAGACAACAGTCAGCCTCAGAAGAGATGCCAGGCTATAGGAAGCTGGTCCTGGAGGGGAAATGGTGGGGCTGGATGGTGTGTGTCAGGTATGTGTCAGGGTAGAGGAGCTGGAAGATGAGACTAGAGGGCATACTGGCTTTTCCCCGGGGCCTTGCTGGGCCCTGGGCCTGGCTTGATCTTAAAAGTGCCCTTCCCTGAAGCATTCATGCCAAACCAGACGCTGTGGCATCTGGGCTGTAAGCGGGAGCCACAAGGTGGGGAAGGTCTCAGGGTGCTTCCAGGTGCTCCAGGAATTCGATGGGCTACACTTCTGGAGGGTCAGCGCCATCTCGGGAATACAGTCCACATCTGGATCTGGATCAGCCCTGCATTTTTCATTTTTCAACCTCACTTCCAGTCGTGATACCCTTTAACTTCTCCTAACTGTGGGGGGGGGGGTTTACATCCTCACGCCCTCTGAAAGCAAACACAGCCCTGTGTTTTGTGGCCACTGGTCAATTACCAGGATTTACTGCTGCTCTTGAAACAACTGGTTTAAACTCACTCTGAATCCCACCCAAATTGGTTTTATGATTTCCTCTGTCTGTTTGGTCACTGGGTTCCTGACACAGGAGAGGCAGAAGAGTATGAACTGTGGAATTTCTGTGCGGGTGGCTCTGAATGGCCTACTTTTTCCTTGTAGCTGGGACATTTTATGGATCATTTTCATCATCTGGGCACAACCCCTAAGACTCTCAGCCTGCCCCCATTTCTCTGAGGTACTGTGAGTGAGTCCATGCCAGGTCCAGACTTGTAATGGTGGCTCAATCACCTTTCCTGCCCAGTTCAGTGCCTCCCCCAGAATCGTCCCTCCCACGCCTGTCTGTCCCGGTCATTCCCCTACAGTTCACCCAGCCACAGACGCCCTCTGCAGGCCACCGCAGACAGACAGCGCCATGTACCCTGTAGTGGATGCTGTGATGTGTCACTCAGGTCCCCCCACGGTACCGAAGCATTCTATGCCCACCTGCCCAGCGTCTTGGTTGCCTCCCACTGATTCCCTCTCTGCCCACTGCCCTTGGCTGAAAAGAGCTGCTATGTCCAGGATTAGGCCCTCTCCCCAGGGGCTGCCTATACACAGTGAGAGGTGATGCAGGGGTACAAAGTCCCAGACCTCTAGCCTCAATGCAGATGACTGTCCAGGGCTCCTTGGGGGATTAGTTGAAGGTGCAACTGTATCACCATCCAACTTCTCCCTCTGCCCAGTCCTGCTTTCCCTTCCCTGTGCACAGCTATTGCTCTCCAGAACATTCCTGAACAACCTGCCCTCATGTACATCTCTGAGGCTCAGAATCTGTCCTGGAGCCTGGTCTCGGGCTACACCACTCTCACTTGCCCTTCCCGGGGGCGGGGGGACCTGGAGGTAGGGGTGGGGGAGGCCTTACCCACGATCATATGGTTGCAGACATCACAGAAAGTGGGCTTCTTGAAGATATGCTCCTGAAAGGCGTGGGCCTTGACACCAGCCCCTGGGTGCAGGCCGGTCCTGGTGGGTGTGGATGTCAGGCTTCCAGAGGCGGGGAGTGGGCTGGAGCTGGGGCTGACCTCAGCCAGCATGTCCGCCTGCAGCTTCACGTCGCTGTTGGTTCTCTGGAAGAAGTTGTCAGCGCTTTTGCTCCGTAAACTCTTGGTCTTGAAAGAAAGTGATCGTTTTAGTTTCTGGAGCTGCAATGCAATGACAGAACACTCTCTTACGATCAATCATGCAGACTCATGCTGGGGGGGCGCGGTGAGGTCTGCTCCAGGCACTGCACTGTTCCAGCTGACACCCTCTGCCCCTCCTTGGGCACACAATGTGTCCCTGTGTGGGTGGGCAAGGTCAGTGCCTAAAGGGTATGTGGCAGTCCCTTCTCCATCCCGTGCTGAGCCAGACTGCCCAGGGAGGCCCCAAGGTGCCTTTGCTTCTGCCCCTGCTCCTCCTCCCCGCCTCCTTGAGGTCCTACCAATGTGCTGTCAAAGTGTCCCATGACATTGAACTTTTGACACCATTTGCCTTCTGAATTGGAATCATTGGAAATATTAAGTGTATGACCTTCTGGGCTCAATGGCTGTGTTTGCCATGCCAGAGCCTCTGCCAGTCTTTCTCTCTGATGGTCACTTAGCAGCTACTTGTGTCTCTACATGGCAAAGCAGAAGAGGCCACTGTCTGCCTTGAATCCATCTGGGTGAACTATCCACAGAATAGGAACCAGAAACTCTCAAACCTGCTTGGGTCTGAAGCATATGGATGAGTAATGTGTGTGTGTGTGTGTGTCTGTGTGTATGTGCACGCGAATGTGTGCGTGTTTGCAGAGGACACGGCGTGAGATTACTTGTTTGACTTTCTCTGCTCTTCTCCCTACCTTGCTGCTTGTTTTTGGCCATGGCAAACTGGATCATTTCTCATTTGCCTTGGAACTTATGAAGAATTAAAACCTGGGTTTGGAGAACTAATTACTGAAAGGTCTGGGTTTGGTCCAGGCTGCACCACCAATTCAGCTTTCCTTACTGGAGCTAGCAGGATCTTTTGGAAATACAGATGTGAGCATGTGAGCCTGATGTTTAAATCCTTCACGAGGTTTCCTTTGTTCTTAAATCTAAAGAAAAGTTCCTTGTCATGGGCTCCAGGTACTTGCAGCTTCTGGGTCCCCATGACAGCTTGTAGCAACATGTACCTTGCTCTGTCCACGCCAGCTACAGTGGCTCTTTGAAAGTCTGTGGTATTTACTATGCTTTCTCATTGCCACTCCTTTTGTGCATACTTCTCCCTTTGCCCAGATAAAGGAATAAAGCACTTAGTAGCTGCATGACCTGCAACAGGTCACTTTACCTTCAAGGTAGTTTCCTTTTGTCATTGACTATCCATGGGGACTCTGCCTGTTGTCTGGAATGTCTTTGACCCAAAGCTGCGGACAAAAAGGAGCTAAGCACACGAGTCTAATAAAGGCCCCCATCAAGTGTAGTCAAACACCTCTCCAGGACATGTAAGATGAGCTCTGCATCAACCCTCCAACCTCTTCCTCAGAAGAGCAGGAAGATGTGGTCTTTTGTGCTTGGGGTAGACTGCAAAAATGCTATAATTTTCCTCCATTACCCTTCCCCATTCACCTCTGCAATGTAACTTTGCAGCCCCACCCATCAAAGGTAGCATGTTTCCACACTCCTTGGATCTTGTTGGTTTGGGGAACTTGACCAATAAAAGGTGGCAGAAGCAATTTTAAGCCAGTTCCAAGCCCAGACCTCAAGATGCCTTGCATGCTTTGTCCTCCCTCTTGGAAACGTGCCAAACTGCCTTATGAACCAACCCAATGTAGCCTGAAGGATGATGAGAGACACAGTCCAGTCGCCTCCCATCACATGAGTAAGACCACCGAAGCAGAGCTACCCTGTTTCCCTGCAGGGAATATAAGGGTCTAGAAGAGACCAGAAGAACTGTCGAGCTGAGTCCCATCCAAATCGCCAGCCCACAGAACCATCAACTAAAGAGATGACTCGTGTTTGAAACCATTAAGTTGGGTATCTATTGTGGGTACACAGCAATACATTGCTTCTCCCCACCTTCCTGCCATGTGCTGGATTTTACTTCTTTCCCCATGTGAGGTTGGCTGTGGCTGTGTGAAGCCAGCTCCCCACTTCAGGGAGCCATCTGGGGAGGAGGCCTTGTTGGGGCCCTCCTCTAGAGGAGCTCCACTTAGCCAGCGATGAGGCATTATTAGCCAGAGACCAGCAACACCCTATATTTAAAGGTCAGAAATGGTGGGTTGGCCAAGAACACTGTCTCTTTCCCTTTGCCCTATGGCCCAAACCCACCAGAGGCGCTGTAGCCACCAAAGAAGGAAGAGAAGGAGGTGCTGGTGAGTTATTTTGGCGTTGTTCATTACTGTACCATAACCTAGCCTATCCTGACTGATATAGGGGAGCAGGGTCATGCGTCCTTGGGAGCCCTGCATTTATTGTGAAGAGGACTCTCCATCTCCAGCAAAGCTAAGTGAGAGTGGGAACGAGACAGCACTCACTGAGACAGAGCCACACCAGGGTAAGGGCCAGAAAGCCATAAAGGAGAAGAACAGATCTTCCTCACTTTCCATCCTTCCAGTTATTGGCTGGGCTGGTGCTGGAGGAAGGGGGGTTTAAATAGATAAGACTAGAGTTTTATTGTGGACAGATTTTAATAAAGTGACCAGGAAGTTAAGGAATCTGCTAAGATTTTTTGTGGGCTTGGCAACCCAGGGCGAGGGTGGTTTATCAGAGCAAATATCATCATATAGAAAAATAAAATCCTGTCATGGAGTTCAAACGGTTCAATAAATTGGCTACTCTCGTCTCAGAAGCAGAACAGAAACACCTATCCTAATTATAATAATAGCAGGTGCATCCCCAGGTGACCCTTCTTCACCTTCCCAACCATCCAGTGAAGACACTGTTGTTTTACTCCTGGAGAAATGGTTGAGGGAGGTTAAGGGACTTGCCCAAGGTCACACAGCTCATGTGAGTCAAGCCCAGGGTTCAGAATTAAATTTACCTTCCTTTAAGCCCCCATTCTTCACACTGGCAGTGATGGACAGGTGATGGAGAGGGAATGGAGGAGAGCTTACCCTTCACCCTCAGGAGGACAGAACTACTTTTGGTGGACAGTGAGAGTGGGAAGGGATGTGCAGCGAGAAAGCAAATCTGCTTTTTGGGGAGCTATTTCCCTTATTTTATATATTTCAAATTTCTTAAAAATAAAAAAGGAGCATAGTTGTTTATCAAAGGGGAGCAGCAGACTTCCCTTTAAGGCTTCTCTGACAGACTCTGTGGACTCTGTTGCTAGGCCAGGGAAGGTCATGGGGTGGGGCCTACGTCCAGTCTGGTCTCCCTCCTGTGCTCGTGTGCTTTATTTCTGCCTTCAGAAACTTCCATATATGGTATTCTGTGTTCCTTTGAAGTTTAGCATGATGCCAAGACACCTGTAGCATTTTCCTTGTCCTGTGGGTTGTGGCTGGAAACTGTGTCAGACTTTCAGAGTCTGCCTGCCTACAGAGTTGGAGAATTTGCCTTGGAAGTCAATGTAACATTTCTTATTCAAGTGGGTAGCTTAAAGGAAAGGCCTACAAGTTAAACAAAGTCTGAGCAGTGAGCTCAAAGGAACACACTTTCTCTAATTATTCCCCAAAGAGTAGAGGCCAGATGGGAACATATAAAATACAGAAATAGAAGCAAACCCCGGTAATAGCAGATGTCACAAAATGATCTTCCAGACATTGGCACAACCCAACTCCATTTTTTTAATAATAATAATGGGAGAAGGAACATATATTCTCAAGTACTTTGCCATGTGCTAGAAACTGCTCTCTATATTTTAATTCATGTAATCATCCTGGTGATCTGATGAGTAAGAGATCATTCATTCATTCATTCAATAATTCATTCAATAAATATTTATTGTGTCACTACTATGAGCCAGGCATTGGCCTTGGCTTTGGGGTTATAGCAGCAGAAAAAAGAAAAACCCCTCCCCTTAAGGTTTTAAGGTCTAGTGGGTGGAGATAGAAAGTAAATAAATAATAAAAGATGTATATAATATAAATTTTGGTAAGGATAAAAGACATGAAGGAAATAAAAGTGGAGCCAGGCTTTAGAAAGTGACAAGGAAGGCTTCTCTGAACGGTGACATTGGAGCAGAGACACATGAGAAGTGAGGGCATGAGCTACTTGGGAGAAGAACAATTTGGGTAGTGGGGGAAACTATGGGCGAAGGCCCTGACAAGGTGGGTGTGCCTGGGGCAGAAGGTTGAGGGAGAAAAGGGGCAGAGAAGTCAAGGGTCAGCTTCATGCCAGGCCTTGCAGGCCATGGCAAAGGCCTTGGAATTTATCCTCAGGGTGATGGTTTTGAGCAGAGAATTTTAAAAGGGTTCCTCTGGCTGCTATGTGGAAAACAGACTCCAGGAGGGCAAGATGGAAGCCCGGAGACAAGTTGGAGACTCTTGCAATTATCCCAGGGAGAATCCATTTTGGCTTGGCCTGCCATAGTTATAGTACAACATGGTTGAATATGGGGTACAGCATGAAGGTAGAACCAAATGGGCTTGTTGAGGGATTGGATATGTAGTATGATGGAAAGAGGGGACTCAAGAATGATTTCAAGGTTTTGGGCTTGAGCAAGTGGATGGATGGAGGGACCATTTACTCAAAGGAAGAGTCCTGGAGAAGAAGCAAGTTGGTGTGGGGCAGTGGGGTGGGGATAAAGAGTTGAGTTGGGGAAAGTAAGTTTGAAATGCTTATATGGAATTCATGTGGAGCTGGGTATATGGCCTTGGAATTCAGGTGAGGGGTCCAAGCTGGATAAATACATGTGGGAGTCACAAAGACATCAATGGTACTTACAGCTATGAGGCTTGATGAGATCATTATGTAGTTAGTGCGAACACTGAAGAGAAGTGCTCTGAGGATGGAGACCCGGAGGTCAAGAAGATTAAGGAAATATTTCGAGGCCAAGATGATTAAGAAAAAAACAAAGGAATCTGAGAAGGAGAGACTGGCGAGAAAGGAGTGGGAGCTCTGGGAATAAAATGATTCAAGGAAGAGAGAAGAACCCACATCATCAAATAATGCCTATACATCGAGTAATGTGAGGGCTAGGGGGAATATCTTTGGGGGATTTTTTTTTTTAGTTTATTTAGTTGAGAGAGAGAGATGGGGGGGTG